AGACTTCTCTATGCTGATTTGCAAAATGACGGAAGATAAAATTCGAGGTCCCCTCACTCCTGCTCAGAGGGTGTGGCTTGGACCACGCACTGCTCCAGGTGAGACTTCGGATTGTGTGTTTGACTTTGTGTTTAAAACCCTTCAGTAATGTTTTTGAGGCTGATACTAATTCTCTCCTCTCCCTTCTACAGGTACCTCTTCTTCCTCTGCTAGTGTCCCTGTGACCTTGTCCTCTGACCCTCTCTGCCCGTCCTCCACACAGAAAGTACGAAGTTTGTTTTCATCCTCATCCTCAACTACTCCTTCTCACCAACATCTCTCTGCACCTCCATCAAGAATGGGTATGTTTTACACTAAGTTTCGTACAGTGAATTACTATGTAGCACATTGTGGTAGTAGTGACAATGACATGGTTCTAGTGACTGGTCACCACCACCATATCCCACTAGTGAGTCAGAAGGTTATCCATACATAATGTGGTGTCCACTCAGTGTGGTATGATGTGTGGTTTTTGAAGTTGTTCCTCATGTGTGTTCCCTGCAGTCCCCCAGTTGGTCAGTAGCTCACGGACGGGAGAGAGAGACACAACACGGATTGGAGGTCTGCTACTGACTCTCTCTCTCTCTCGCTTTAACCTAGTCTTCATGTTTCAAATCCTATTGTTTGCTGCATTTCTGCTTTAGCGAGTTCTGAAATCTGATTGGTCAATTAGTTGTAGGATGGCTGCATGCGAAGCTTATGGCAATATACAGTTAATGCTCAGATTATTTACTTTGCGTATACAGTATCCTGGTTTATAAAAACTGGATGCAGAATATGTATGTGCAGACTATGCCTCTAAACGACTCCACCAGTTAGTTGCGAATGATTGTCATTGATGTGTGAGGGAGTTTTTAAATATTGTACTAATTCTCTCCTCTCCCTTCTACAGTTGCAGAGTCAATCACGACTTCTTCTTCCTCTTCTGGTGTCCCTGTGTCCTCGTCCTCTGACCCTCTCTCCCCGTCCTCTAACTCTCCTCTCACCTCCTCTACTTCTGGTGAGTCCTTCTTCATGTTAAGTTGTACATCAATTCTCCCTCTTC